CAATGAGAAGCGTTATGTGCAAATGAACAACGAACAACAATACAATTATGTCTGTGTAAAACTCTCAGTAATAAAAGTGTACATAAATTTTGGGAGCCATGCGTTACCGCGCGTAATAACCGAAGTAGCGCTTTATCGAAGAGCGCAATAGCGAGCGATCACTGTACATACACTGTATCCCTGAGGTACCGAGGTGGGAGTGTCGGGTACATACATGGGTCACTGGGGTACCGAGGTGGGAGTGTCGGGTACATACATAGGTCACTGGGGTACCGAGGTGGGAGTGTCGGGTACATACATGGGTCCCTGGGGTACCGAGGTGGGAGTGTCGGGTACATACATGGGTCCCTGGGGTACCGAGGTGGGAGTGTCGGGTACATACACTGTATCCCTGGGGTACCGAGGTGGGAGTGTCGGGTACATACATGGGTCCCTGGGGTACAGAGGTGGGAGTGTCGGGTACATACATGGGTCCCTGGGGTACCGAGGTGGGAGTGTCGGGTACATACATGGGTCCCTGGGGTACCGAGGTGGGAGTGTCGGGCACATACATAGGTCACTGGGGTACCGAGGTGGGAGTGTCGGGTACATACATAGGTCACTGGGGTACCGAGGTGGGAGTGTCGGGTACATACATGGGTCCCTGAGGTACCGAGGTGGGAGCGTCGGGTACATACATGGGTCCCTGGGGTACGGAGGTCACTGGTGGGAGTGTCGGGTACATACAAGGGTCCCTGGGGTACGGAGGTCACTGATGGGAGTGTCGGGTACATACATGGGTCCCTGGGGTACCGAGGTGGGAGTGTCGGGTACATACACTGTATCCCTGGGGTCCCGAGTGTGAGTGTTCGAGTACATACATGGGTCCCTGGGGTACCGAGGTGGGAGTGTCGGGTACATACATGGGTCCCTGGGGTACAGAGGTGGGCGTGTATGTACTGGACACGCCCACCTCGGTACCCTGTGGGTGTGTGAGGTACATACACTGGTGGGTTCAATCTGATACCATACTGTCTTGGTTCTACATATTGTCCCGGGGGGTACCGAGGTCGGTGTGTCCAACAAATGGTCAAATCTTTACAGACATGCCTATTTCGCACCATCAGCAGTTCAAAGTCAAATAATTGAAGCAATACAAGTCAATACTGAAGTGGAGGTAAAGTAAAATACCAAAATAAAATCTATCGAAAAAAACATCAAAATCGGGGCACATCTTTGGTGAGCAGCAGCATGACCCCATGATGAACACTTTAAAAAGTAAGGCCTCGTATTATGGAAGGGTGATAAGACCATGAAAGGCGAAACATCATTATCTGAACGTGATTAATATACAGTAAACTACGTTCATAACGAACACGCTTATAACAAACTTATTCTTAAGTCCCCGCCATTTGTTGTACATATGCTGTATATATGCTCATAACGTTATCATGAACTAAAATTAGTGGTCCATTTGAGTTTGTTATAACCATAGTTTACTGTACTACTCAAAAGAAGTTAAAGGACACTCGATTTTTTCCACGACAGATAAACTTTCCCTTTACAATCCAAACAGAAAGCCATAGGGTATGGGGGGCACTTGCTGGAGCAGAGTGAGCACAGTTTAACGCCACATTTAGCAATATTCTAGCAGTATCACGGCAGGGGACACCAGAAATGGGCTTCACACATTGTACCCATGTCAGGAATCGAACCCGGGTCTTCGGCGTGACGAGCGAACGCTTTAACCACTAGGCTACCCGACCGCCCCTGCTGGAACAGAGGGCTTATTACCGTACAGTACATTAAATATGTCACTTAACCATTAATAACCATTAATAACCATTGTTCAGAATCCATTCAAGATAAGAATACTTCGATACACACGTGCAATGATTTGTCATGGAAAATGTTGCCCTTTGAAATGAAAATGAATTTTTGAATGAAATTTTCAAATATTGCAAATGATGAAATTCTGGGTTATAATTGTGATGTGTGAAAAAAAACCAACAGAAATATATCCACAAATAAATGTTCAGTGAGTGAGTGAGTGAGTGAGTGAGTGAGTATGGTTCAGACTGAACCCAGAAACACTCTGCATGAGCAGGCGACTTTTCAACAGTACACTTACAATATTCCACGTAATAAGCGCCCTGCTCTCATAAGCGCCCACGGCGACATTAGCTAATATATTGGCTGGTGAACAATCCCAATTAGCCCCCCTTCCGATTGATCAATGTACACAAGACTTATTTATTCGCGTATAATACGCACTTGTGTGATTATATGCACCCTTAATTATGGGCAATTAAATTCTGGAAAAATATATGTCGTACATAAACACTTCAGACTGTCAGCATAAACCATGAAATTTATCATTCAACTCTGTTTTTTTCCACCAAAATAATATTCTAATAAGAGCCTCCTATTTCTAATTTTGAGAGCGCCCTGGGCGCTTATTACGTCGAATACGGTAGTCCACTTTCAGATGCAAATGACATTCTGGGTGACTCTTTGAAGAAAAATACTAAAAGTTAGCTGACTGTAAAGGTTGATCCTGTTAGTCGCCTTTTACGGCAAGCATGGGTTGCTGAAGACCTATTCTACCCGGGATCTTCACGGGTCTCATATGTATTCACAGGCGATGGAGGAACATAGTGTACATGTGACTTCTTGACGATGATGGAAATGTCAGTATCATATACACCTGACTACCAGGAGTGCTTAATTTCACAAAGGATCACTGCATCATGAAAGCATCCGTATCTACAGTAGGTTTACAAATTCGTCACTTAAAACACTGTATCAAGGGAAGTCTATTTTTAAAAACCATCACCTATCCTGGTGTTCTCCTAAAATAAAATAAAATATTTGACATTAAAGGTTTGGGTATTTTTTAGAAAAAAATGTTTTGGTTTTTCTTTATTTATTGAAATTAGACTGCCTAACCATTGCCGTTATCCAGGGAATTATATTGGGCTGGGACAGGTAACTCAGATACTCGGGTAGGGTGGGTACGGAGAAGGACCCAGAAACCGTGGTTAGTCACGTGATATATTATTTAATGACAAAAATTCCCTTATTCCAGGGTTACACAACAAATCACTAATATTTCTTTCTGACTATGCACATATTCCTTGCACATGTTTGAATAAAGATACAACTTCCATCACCTTCAGTCAGTTACTTGACTCTTCTTTCAATTATGATGATGCGGGCGGTGCTTAAGAACCAAGACCATTTTCTTTAGCCTAACAGATCAAAATAACCTCTGTACTTTGAGGGCTCAGACCGGTACACAAGATCTCGACCATGGGGCAGGTGTCAATGGACTCAAGCCCTACATCATGGACTGCACAAGGGAGATAACTCACATCTTCACTTCTCCACATCATGTGCAGTCATGGAAAAGAATCGGAAAATCATTTCAACAGAGATGATGCTTATCAAACAGAAAAAATGTTGACTGTGTGCGTTATTCTTTTGAAATCGGGAACTCCAGTCAGGGTTGAGTTTTGAGATGCAGCTACCCGGTACCCGTCACAGCACAATTACTTCATGCAACTGGATCTGTCCGGTACAACACTGACACTGCAAATATTGACTGACCAACACAAACATATCAAGGCAGTCAGTATAAACCACATAAATGACAATGAAATTATGACAAAATATGAAAACAATATGCTTCAACTATGATAACAATAAATCAATGACACGTCAATCTGAGACTTACCGATGTCAAGCTAAGACACGATGGCTTCAATCTCAGACACAATGATATCAATCAAAGACACAATGATATCAATCTCAGACACAATGATATCAATCTCAGACACAATATCAATCAAAGACACAATGATATCAATCTCAGACACAATGATATCAAATTAAGACACAATGAAATCGATCTAAGACACAATGAAATCGATCTAAGACACAATGATATCGATCAAAGACACAATGATATCAAATTAAGACGCAATGAAATCGATCTAAGACACAATGATATCCTTCTAAGACACAATGAAGTTGATCTAAGACACAATGAAATTGATCTAAGACACAACGATATCCATCTAAGACACAATGGTATTCAGTCTGAATGATGTAGCAGTATTATGCGACAAATAAGCACCTTTACGCACACATTAATCATTTCTTCACAGTGAAACTTCTAACCAACATTTTTCAAGTAGGTTAACAAAATATTTGGATTTCACAAAACAAGACATCTACTAAAATATTTACCAAATAACTAACAATAAAAAGACTTTCATTCTAATTAATGCTGTTATTCCTCTATTCCTTAGTTCAATAACATTCAGTAGTATCTTCCACAGAACTGGTTTGGAAATGTATCCTCTAATGACAGCTTTCCTGTAACCATCGTAACGCACTGGCAAATATACACACATCTAAATAATTAAAAAAAAGTTGGAAAATTCACATCATCACATTCAACAATAGACCTCCACAAAAAATATCTCTTAGTTACCTCCCCTTTAGCTCTGGAGGTTCTACTCTGAGCATATTTGACTGTGGTTGTGCAGAAAACAGTCTCAGTAGCAGGTATCTAAGAGAAGATAACTCCAGTCTCCTCTTCTCACTGGCCAATAGAGTACTGTTATCATAACTCAGGCATTCTGCCCAAAGTTCCAAAGGGGAGTCACTCAAGAAATACAACAGCACACCAAATCAAATCGTTGGGAACACTTCACCTGAATCAAATTATCACAATCTAAGCACAATGAATTTTAATGATATATAACAAACAATGCACTTGAGTACATCATGTGCACATTAGATCACCCTCAAACTTAGGTCATCAAACTTTTGATACTCAATATCAATGTGATTACAGTGTTCGAAATCAAGTCCAGGGAGCCTTGTCATACAAAACACTAACATTCAAACGTAAAAGATTTTGGGGGTGCCCTGCATTCAAATAAATCAGGGATGGAAATTAACAAAGAACATCTCCTATCCCGAAGTGATCACATTCAGCAATTGCCCCCAAAATGTCTGAAATTCTTAGGATTCGTAGTCCTGATAATGGCTTCGACATTTACCATGCCTCCAACACGGGTACCGCTAACTTCCATCTCCGCAAGACACATGTACCAAGGAAGAAGAGCTCCAACACGGGTACCGCTAACTTCCATCTCCGCAACACACATGTACCAAGGAAGAAGAGCTCCAACACGGGTACCGCTAACTTCCATCTCTGCAAGACACATGTACCAAGGAAGAAGAGCTCCAACACGGGTACCACTAACTTCCATCTCCGCAACACACACGTACCAAGGAAGAAGAGCTCCAACACGGGTACCGCTAACTTCCATCTCCGCAACACACATGTACCAAGGAAGAAGAGCTCCAACACGGGTACCGCTAACTTCCATCTCCGCAACACACATGTACCAAGGAAGAAGAGCTCCAACACGGGTACCGCTAACTTCCATCTCCGCAACACACATGTACCAAGGAAGAAGAGCTCCAACACGGGTACCGCTAACTTCCATCTCCGCAATACACATGTACTAAGGAAGAAGAGCTCCAACACGGGTACCGCTAACTTCCATCTCCGCAACACACATGTACCAAGGAAGAAGAGCTCCAACACAGGTACCGCTAACTTCCATCTCCGCAACACACATGTACCAAGGAAGAAGACCTCCAACACGGGTACCGCTAACTTCCATCTCCGCAACACACATGTACCAAGGAAGAAGAGCTCCAACACGGGTACCGCTAACTTCCATCTCCGCAACACACATGTACCGAGGAAGAAGAGCTCCAACACGGGTACCGCTAACTTCCATCTCCGCAACACACATGTACCAAGGAAGAAGACCTCCAACACGGGTACCGCTAACTTCCATCTCCGCAAGACACATGTACCAAGGAAGAAGACCTCCAACACGGGTACCGCTAACTTCCATCTCCACAACACACATGTACCAAGGAAGAAGACCTCCAACACGGGTACCGCTAACTTCCATCTCCGCAACACACATGTACCAAGGAAGAAGACCTCAAGGGCCGACGGTCCCCTTAATTCCCAACACTGAATAATGATGTGAGTTGTATCTACCTTAAGACCAATGATTGCTATACCTTGAAAGTCTATTGCACGATTAAGTACATGTAAAAACAGTACAAATAAAGCACTTTCTGTTACCACTGGTTACCACATTCTATTGTGACTCATACATGACAATAAAGAGTAAAGTGTTCCAGTGTATCCAAGCACCATTGACCATTTCTCGGGCTACATCTCGTTAAAAGTTACAGATTTTCAACACGCTGGAGTATTGGAGTATTTAGCATCAACTGGTCCAGTTCGTCTGAATGTAGGCTCATATGACAATAGTCATGAGACATTCCTGTGACGTCTGGTATTATGTGATCAGCCACTGAGAAATAGACTCCAGAGTAGTGCACTAGGCATCATATCCAAACTAAGGCATCACAGTTAAAGAACGGATACAGATGCTTAAAGAGCATCTTGTGCAGACCCAGTAAGTTGGACTAAGTCTTTAAGGCCATGTGTAAGTCTAAACTGCTGGGTAAAAGAAAGTACCAGTATACAGCCATGTTTGATAGTGGCTAAATATGAGTGAGCGAGTGAGTGAGTGAGTGAGAGAGTGAGTGAGTGAGTGAGTTGGGTTTAACGCCGCTTTTAACAGTATTCCAGTTATATCACGACGTGTCAGCTTAATGTGGGAGGAAAGCCAAAAGTGATGCAGGTCTCAGACGTTTACCACTTCGGTGAAACCCACGAGCACGGGTATGGTCCTGACAAACCTAGACACATAATCAGGGCGAACCGGGATTCGAACCCACAATCATAGGTTTCTGGCGTGCCCACGGAACACAGTTCTGCACAGCGACTGGGCCCCCCTGCTAAATATGAAACAAACAAGATGGTTATTCGATGATGATGCATTTGATGCAGATATCATAGTTGTGTCCTGGACCTCAGTTTGCAGTGTTTCGGTGACTGTTTCAGCCTAGTGAGGTTTTGATGTCTCTAAATTGTAGGTCAAATCCCATTTTCATGTGTACACTTTCTTTTGCCCAGCAGTTTATTAACTCAAACTTTATAATGAAGATGAATCTGGCAGTTTAGGATGACTGAGTTACAAAGAAATACTGTTTCAAAACTGACACTGACTACATCCAGACTGGAAATGTTTATAAGACCACGATGGAAACTCCCCTTTAAGTAACAGACACTTAAGGAATAACTAGCTATCAGAGGTACGAAGTACTTTCAGAATTAGTTATGGAATGACAGGTAACCAGACATTCTGGAGGAACTACCTTGAGGCTTCAGTCAACATCACAATAATGATGGCAGTGTTCAAAATTAAGAATGAAAGTCAAAAGGTCCTCGTCATAACCCTAATGTTAACAGTTAGATATCTAGGGGTAGGAGTGGAACGATATATCAAACTATCGATATATAGCAATACAATCACAAGATTGAAACATAATCAGGGCTAAACGGGATTCAAACCCACAATCATAGGTTTCCGGCGTGCCCAAGGGACGCAACTCTGCACAGCGAATCGCGGCGCCTTAGACGACTGGGCCACCCGTGCCCCCGTATTGTAATGAAGGCCTGAGAGAAGTGATCTGTCAAAACTTACAGCTGTTGCCAATTGTTTCTCTGATGTTCACACAAGCGGGGTAAAGGGATTGTATATATTCTTTTAGAAGTGATTTTCTGACACATTGCTCAAACATCCTAAGATTTTTTTTTAACTTTACTGGTGTTAAACTTAGAGTGTTTATAAGATTTCTATTTTTTCAAATACAAAGTTATCAAAAACTTAACTATTTTTTCAATTCAAACATATCAATATTGCCAACTTTAAATTCATGTGCAGCCACTTTTTTTCATGTTCCCGTGATTTAGCTCGAAACAAAAACCTTTGAGAGAACAATTCTATATCATTATCAAATTTAAAAAAAAGTTCTTTAGAACATTTTGGATGACAATCAGTCAATGTTCTGTAAAATAAACCAATCTTATAAACTCTATTCAAACAACAGTAAAATTTCCAGCCAGCCGGCATTGCCAACGGACACCATCTTGAGAGGGCAGAATGCCTATTACGTACAACCTAGGTCTGTCTTAAAGCTCCTTGTTGAGAACCCAGTTGGCAAAACAGCAATCTTTAAAACCAAATAAGTTACATTTGTCTTCTAGCAAGGGTGCGGTATTATCCGTAAATTAAGGTTTATTCTTTCCACGATACGTATCACAATATCATTTTATTATGTTTGATATATAGGGTGATTTCTAATAGCGATTATAATCATGTGTTTGTCATGTATTTTTTACTAAATACCTTCGCTGTCCTGCAGCATGCATCAGGTGCCCCAAGATGTCTGTGTATTTATTGACTGAGTAAACATCATGTTGTACCAGCACCTGTTCCATTTATGAACTTTAATTTACACCTTAATGTATCAGAATGCTTCTGAATTCAAAATTTAGAGTTAAACAATATCTTGTGAAACGTATCGCAATACGGCCTTGTGCATAGGAAAATATTGTGATACACTTTTAAACTTCCCATCCCTATCCCATCCCATCCCTATCTTCTAGCATATTTCAAAACTGAACCGCTGAGATCTCCTGATGCACCAGCTATCAGGATGTTACCCTAGATCCCGGTTGCCACTTTCCCTGGATAAATTACAACACACAAATCTCTGTTAAAAAATTCGACCCTTACTATCCAATGACATTATAAGGCAGTGCTTTCAATGCAGAACGGTAAAGGGAAAAGAGGGTATTCCTCATCTTCGAAGCGCAATCATAAGAAACTTAGAGTCCAGTCAATTTCTGTTTTCAAATGGTTGCTGATGTGTTATATGGACAGTGGCCCGCCCATCTAACCTATCAAAGGCCAGATCTATAATCATCCCTGCCCTTGCAATATTAAAATCAGATATTGAAAAAAAAAGCCACACCACAATTCGTATCTACAGTGAAAATACAAATTCAGCAACATTCATCAAGCATTCATAATTAGCCTATTGTGACAGTAACCATGGTAACAAGCAGCAAAACAATTTCAATAATCGATGAGTATTTATCGAGCCTGCTTTGTGCATTAGCAAGAAGCATCAATGACTGAGCTTTGATTGAAGATTATCTGTGATGTATTTTTGTATCTGTGACCTTTTGCTCTCTGACCCCTGTGACCTTTGGTCTTCTGACCTCTGCGACCTAACCACAACCACAGTGAAACTGCTTTGTTGAGTCTTTGACGTCGTCATAGCGACAACCAGCACACACAGTATGGAACCATTTGTCACAGTCATCACACTGGACCTGAAAAGTAAAACATAAACAATAAAAACAGTGAGCTGAAATAATGATATTTTATGCTACTTCAAACAGTATTGAAATTATGTCACAGTGAGTCAGCTTTGTGCAGGAGGAAAGCCTTCAAAGTGTTGTTTGTTTGTTGTTTAACGCTGGATTCAGCAATATTCCAGCTAGATGGCGTCAGTCCGTAAATAATCGAGTCAGGAACAGACAATCTAGTGATTGACATCATGAGCATCGATCCACTCAATTGGGACACAATGACATGTATCAACCAAGTCAGCATGCCTGATCACCTGATCCTGTTAGTCGCCTCTTACGAGAAGCATTGTCGCCTTTAATGGCAAGCATGGGTTGCTGAAGACCTTTCCTACCCCGGATCTTCGCGGGCAGCAAAGTGTAGCAACTCATAGGTGTTTGCTTGAGGTCACGAGTGAGTGAGTGAGTGAGTGAGTGAGTGAGTGAGTGAGTGAATATGGTTTTACGCCCCTTTTAGCAATAATCCAGCAATATCACGGCGGGGGACATCAGAAATATGCTTCACACATTGTACCCAAGGGACCCCCCACCCTTTTGTAAGTGAAAGTATAACCCTGTACTCCCTGTTTTGACAGCCCACTTGGTCCTGAGATACCAAGGAGTGACGGACCACCTACCCATTGCACCCTGCGGTCTCTGGGCTTGCTGCAGTCAGGGGCTGCACAGGTCTCTTCCTCATACCACTCCACGCCATCCTCCAGTTTCTCATCATCTGTCAGTCTCACCCGCGTCCTCTTGGTGCGTGGCGCGAAACGCCTTGCTGGAAAGACAAGGCCGATAAATCTGTAAGCACTGTCAGATCTACATCAAACTGAATGCTGTGGGAATAGAGATAGGAATAACAGTATCAAACCAATGACACATAAAGATGGTTACAGGGATTTTTACTATGATGTACAGGTAAGTGGGGAATAAAGCACTTTATCATCAAAAACTGGCTCCCAAAGGAGATATCCCTTGGGTGAGATCAAGCGATATCTACATTGAATCAGACAATCCAGTGATTGACATCACGAGCATCGATCCACACAATTGGGATACGATGACATGCATCAACCAAGACAGCGAGTCTGACCACCCGATCCCGTTAGCCGCCTCTTACGACAAGCATAGTTGCCTTTATGACAAGCATGGATTGCTGAAGATATGTTCTGCCCCGAATCTACCCGGGTTTAGGGAACACGACAAAATCAGTAAAACAAGAAAATAGACTGGTCTGGTTTATAATCTTTTTGTGATAATCATTCATCAACACTTTCACCATCGTTCACAGGTCATCCATCTCCAGAGAACACATACGGGAAGTAGCCGCTGGTCTCGACCAACAAACCAAGCCATGGCCTGGTTCCTCCTGGAGGGAAACCCTGTCACACCAATCGGCACTCAGATTACATCGCACAAACGGCAATATTTCTAACGCAACATGTGATACAGTGTGGCATCCATCTACTCCCCATGTTGCTTCAAGCAATGGTTGGGTTCGCCCAAAAGTCATGCACGTTCATTGAGCACAATCGACTTGCACTAGTTACCACACAGCAAAGCTGCCGTATGTATTCACGGTGTATGAAGTGAGTGAGTGAGTTTGGTTTTACACCGCTTTTAGCAATATTCCAGCAATATCATGGCGGGGGACACCAGAAATGGGCTTCACACATTGTACCCATGTCAGAAATTGAACCCGGGTCTTCGGCATGACGAGGGAACGCTTAAACCACTAGGCTACCCGACAGCCCCCGGTGTATGAAGGAACATACAGCGTACACAAACTAGTGAAGTATTGACGATGATCAAGTTTGTGCCCGATGCATCCATACCTTTCCTCCTCTTGTTGGGGTTGGAGCCTGGCTGACCGCTGGTCCTGGTGTCTGATGATTTGCCTGAAACAGGAGAACACATTACACCACAGGAACATCACAGGAATATCACAGGAACATCACAGGAATATCACAGGAACATCACAGGAATATCAGTCAGTGAGGCAGACATGTCCCTGATCAAACTGTCCACTCTCCTACAAGAGTTCCATGCGGCCAGCGACATGAGACAATGTCACATCTTACACACTCCATTCAAAATATTGCATATGTTTTCTGTTTACACATATAGATAAAGATGTCATCGAATATTGAATTTTCATTGAGACAATATCCCAAAGCGTGAAAAACAATTTCCATTTTCGTATTTATCCTTTCTATCAATTGGTTGTACGGCTCCATGCACTGGTATCAAAGCCCCACGGAGAGCTAGCTATACGGCCAATTTGATGATTAAAGATATCTTGTTATGCACCTCGGTGTTGCAGTTGCAGTTGCAGTAGCACATCTTTAAAATTGTGAAGCGCACCAAAATGCTTTTTTATTTTTTTAAATTTCAGGATAAGTTTGTGTGTTTACAAATCAAGAGATGTCATGATCATCACGGCGCCGGAGTGCACAGACTGTTATCAATGTTCTGCATGTATTTTGTGAATATGGCAACGTGACCTGTATCAGGCCAGACACCGAAAGCTGGATAAATAGTCAACAAACATGAAAACATAAATGTTCTTCTATTCTTTTTATCAAAACATAATGATCCTATCAACATCACTAGTATTGTAACAAAAACAATTATCTTCAACTTTAAAGTTTACAAACATCAGTCCAGTTTATAGTGAGTGAGTATGGTTTTACGCCGCTTTTAGCAATATTCCAGCAATATCACGACAGGGGACACCAGAATGGGCTTCACACATTGTACCCACGTCGGGAATCAAACCCGGGTCTTCGGTGTGACGAGCGAACGCTTTAACCACTGGGCTACCCGACCGCCCCTGTCCAGCTTATAAAGGAGTTTACTCAATTCTATAATTTAATAAAGTACACTGTCAATATAATAAAGTACACTGTCAACGTCACCTGTAAAAGAGATAACTTTTAAACTAAGCAGACCTTTCGCCAATTCTAAATATAAAATATTCATAACAGGTACTAAATATCATGAATATAGCCTTGGAAAGTGTAGCCTTGCTGGTATGGCCAACTCAAATGAAGGCAGTATTTTGTTCCGATTATGAACATGCTTTAGGACAAGCTCTCTGATTGGTTGTTCAGAGGATCACATAGCCAATTGCACAACATATTGTAAAAAGTCATGGCAGACTCTCTATCCACTGGATCAAGGAGACGGTCACAAACACATTTACCAGTCTCTCTTAATATAAGAATTTTTGTTTTGTAAAAACATCTTAATTTCTATACAGTATGTCATAAAATGATACATCATGTTATTTTAGGGAGGCACAGACATAACGGAGGATAGTATTTGGTTTTACAATATTTGATGTGTTATTGGAACTATAAATGGAAATTGTAAAACAAATAATAAATAAATACAAAAACACACAAAAAAATCCCTATCTATTGTACCTACATACCCTAATTTTAAAACTGCTATTATCAGAACCACAAAATTTCTTCCGTGTGGCCTAAATAGCAAAAGACACGAGTTGACAACCTGGTCTTTGTGCGTACAAAGTTTCATGAAAGAAACAGATGGATGGACAGACAGACAGGCTGCTTACTATATCCCCCCCATATTACATACTAGGGATATAATACACATATATCATGTATATATCACTAACCCTACTCCTGTCAAGTTCCCAGCAATTTTCATTCTCTTTCTGGAGTGTAAATAATAAATGGTAACGACATTGCATTGCAAAGTCTCTGAATTCCCCAAAACACTAAAATATTTTTTGCATGCATAAAACAGTCAACGGAAACATCATATCAGAATAATCAATAATGGAAATGAGGACATGAAATCCTTTGACATTTTACAACAGAGACAGGACTGAACAGAAAGCTTCACAAATGCATATTTTCGCTCACTTCAATAATCTCAAATAACTGTTTTAAATACAATAACCCCATATTGTTAAACATGTGATGATATAAATCCTCGCATTCAACTTTGATCTTTGAAATAAGCAGTGCAAAACTGGATTTGAACACACAATTATGCCTGAGGTGAGGTGAGGTGAAATTGGGTTTAATGTCGCGTCCAAGATTATTGCACTTACATAGCGATGTGCATGTACGTGTGTGTGTTTGTGTGGTTGCTTGTACTAGTCTGGACTGATGCTGATTTATAGTGCTAGCTCACTGAGATACCATGCCGCAGTTTACCATGAATACCCCACTCAGACACAGTATACTGACTCCAAGCCGACCAGTCCTTGTTTTAGCCCCTAAATGCCGAGCACCAGACAGGGTAACAACAAGTATCATCTTTTAACGTCTTTTGGTATGATGCGGTCGGGGATCGAACCCCGGACCTTCCGCTCTCCGGGCAGATGCTCTACCATTAGACCCAATTATGCCTGAGGGACATGGCCTAAGATGACTGGCCCCCACTCACACGTACTTTTGTAAGGGCATACCCACGACAGACCTCAGAAACCTATATTCAGCCCTAAATCTGTGTGTACTATGTGGATTAACACAGCACTCTGCAATAAAACAGATCGGATGAGAGACATTGTTTGTTTTTTGTTTAACGCCACATTCAGGTGGAGTCAGCAATATTCAGGCTATGTGACGGCAGTCTGCAAATAGTCGAGTCTGGAACAGACAATCCAGTGATTGACATCATGAGCATCGATCCACGCAATTGGGATACGATAACATGCCTCATCCGTCCAATCCCATAAGTCGCCCCTTATGACAAGAATAGTTGCCTGTTACGGCAAGCATGGGTTGCTGAAGACCTATTCTACCCCGGATCTTCACGGGTCTGTAAATAATCGACTCAGGACCAGGCAATCAATGATTGATACGAGCGATGACCCACAATGCCGGTGGATGATGACGTGTTTTTATTGTTTGTTTGTTTGTTGTTTAACGAGGCACTCAGCAATATTCCAGCTATATGACGGCAGTCTGTAAATAATCAAGTCTGGACCAGACAGTCCAGTAAGTAATATCATAAGCATCGATCCACGCCATTGGGATACGATGACATGCATCAACCAAGTCACTGAGCCCGATCACTGCCTCTTGCAGACAGCATATATCATTATTCCAGCTACCCGGTATATGACAGTGGCCTGTAAATAATAGAGTCTGGACCAGACAATCCTGTGATTGTGATATTGTGACCAACAAGCCATGCCATGAGTCAATCCATTTGGTTGCCTCTTATAGTCTGGAAGGTAATTTAAGGTACAGATGTTTACTACAATATCTGGCCCTGTGACGCAGGGGTAGCATTATGCAGATGGCTGTTACAATGAATGCTGGTTCCACCCGTGACGAACAAGTCTGGTTGTTGATGAAATATAGTGATAGCTAAATAGACAGATTTTTTATTCATGCACCGATTATCTTTAAATGTAATATCCAGTTATGGATGACTGTTTAATAATCTCATACCAACTTTGACTGAAATAGGTCCATTAGTTTTTCAGATATTGTAGTAAACATCGGTACCTTAAATTACCTTCCAGACTTATACAATCAGCATAAGTTGCTGGGGACCTGGTCAAGCCTATATCAGTGTATATGACATGGCCAATATTAAGGAAGAGGATTTCTTCTTCAGTTTTATTTGATTGCATTGAGTGTGATCCTAAAATACCTCTGACAGTAATTAAGCAAATCTGAACTCTTTAATAAAATTATTCTGTGTGTTAAATGAAACATTGCATGCAAAACAGTTAACAAGGGTAAGGTCAACACAGTTAACAAGGGTAAGGTCATCAAAGTTAACATGGTCAAGGTCATCAAAGTTAACATGGTCAAGGTCAACAAAGTTAACATGCTAAGGTCAACAAAATTACCAGGGTCAAGGTCAACAAAGTTAACAGGGTCAAGGTCAACAAAGTTAACAAGGTCAAGGTCAACAAAGTTAACAGGGTCAAGGTCAACAAAGTTAACAGGGTCAAGGTCAACAAAGTTACCAAGGTCAAGTACCGGTCTTATTATCGTCTGCACTGAGTGACCCCAACAAACTGGACACTTGCACATGGAGAAACTGGAGACATCGCTCTCCTTCAAGGAACAGAAATGTTATGACAAACAGCAAGGGAGAAAATTATGGATGCTTTCAGCAACACCATGACAGGGAATTATTTCCTTATAACTATGTGGGAATCAAACCCTGATCTTCCATGATGTCAAGCAAACACCTCACCATAATTAGTCCTGTTTTAATTAATCGATTAAGTTGCTAAGCTTACATGTCAAGCAAACATGAAGCAGGGAGTTGACATTTTTAAATCAAAATAAACATGTGATGGTGTTTTCATGCGTACATGTACACAGATATGCAGGTTATCATTCTTATGTGGAGTTCTGCACCTGGCAAAATCTAATCTCGCCACTTGACAATACACTTCGTCAGATCCAAAGATGAGATCAACATTTGACGAGAAAGACAAATATCCTACATACCGTACTCGACGTAATAAGCGCCCAGGGTGCTCCCAAAATTAGAAATAGCGGGCTCTTACTGGAATATTATTCTGGTGAAAAAAAACCAGTTGAACATGTTGAAAGATCGTAAATTTTGTGCTTTATGCTGACAGCGTTAAATATTTATATACGACAGATATATTTTTCCAGAATTTAATTGCACATAATTAGGGGTGCATATAACACAGAAGTGCGTATTATAATACGCGAATAAATAAGTCTTGTGTACATTGATGAATCAAGGGGGTGCTAATTATAGGATTGTTCCCTGGCCAATATACATGATATATTAGCAAATATGGCCATGGGCACTTTTTTGAACGGGACGCTGATTACGTCTAATACGTATCTTCAGGAGTCTTGAAGATTTCAGGGTAACAAGGCTTCCCTGTATTAACTATGGTGGTGTGTTCCTAGGCCAAAAGAAAAAATGTTTCCCTCCTCCTCTCTCCCCCTCCCCCATCACCCCATATCCTGGTGTTGTCCATGTCAAATTCCACTGGTGTACATATGTCGCACTTCACTCAGAGAGTGAGTGAGTTGGGTTTTACGCCGCTTTTAACAGTATTCCAGTTATATCACGGCGTGTCAGCTTAATGTGGGAGGAAAACCCCAAGTGATGCAGGTCTCAGATGTTTACCACTTCGGTGAAACGCACGAGCACGGGTATGGTGCTGACAAACCTAGAAACATAATCGGGGCGAACCGGGATTCGAACCCACAATCATAGGTTTCTGGCGTGCCCAAGGGACGCAACTCTGCACAGCGAATTGCGGCGCCTTAGACGACTGGGCCACCCGTGCCCCCCCTTCACTCAGAGATGTCAAGTGAGGTGAGGTGAGGTGGGGTTAAATGTCGCATCCAAGATCATTGCACTTTTATAGCGACGTACACGACACGTGTGTGCGTGCGTCTGCTTGTACTACCCTGAACTGATGCCGATTTATAGTGCTATCCAGCGGTAGAAACTAACATTTTTGGTCCACTTGTCTTTATAATGATAATATATAGCAAAACCCTTAAAAATGGCAAATTTCTACTTGTCCTTATGATACCTTAACTATTAGACAGTTCGACTAGTGCCAATTTCTAACTCTGCTATCTCACCAAGATACCATGCCACACCTTAACATGAATATCCCACTCAGACACAGCATACTGACTCCTACCGGCCCTTTAATGCCGAACAGGTACCATCTTTTAACGTCTTTTGGTTTGACACGGCCGGGGATTAAACCCTCATTGAACATGGGGGTTTATTACAGCAAATATGGTACCTGCATGACTTGGATGAGCTGAAATAGGAAGCACACACATATTGAGGGAGCGGTCATACTTACTATCACTGTCCTCACTGAACATAGAGTTGGTTTCACCGTCGTGGTCCTTCCTGCAATGGAAGAGAGGTGCCTGGTCAAATTTAATTATGGACATCCAAAATATCCCCTTACACTTGCCCTGGATTCCTAGGGACTGATCATATGGCTCCAGTGAGTACCATATACACGATATAACTTGTCAATTAATCATCAAATGACCATGATATTTGTTTGAAATTGAGAGGGTCCATGGGTCCATGAGGACTGTTCCAATAGTATTTGAATCGGGGGACCCCTAAATCTTCATCTTTTAGCATGAGCGAGCGAGTTGGGTTTAATGTCACTTGGAACAATATTTTCACTTATATCACAAGGTGTCAACTTGATGTGGGAGTAATGCCCAATGTGAGTGAGTAAGTGAGTTGGGTTTAATGTCACTTGGAACAATATTTCACTTATATCACAAGGTGTCAACTTGATGTGGGAGTAATGCCCAATGTGAGTGAGTAAGTGAGTTGGGTTTAATGTCACTTGGAACAATATTTCACTTATATCACAAGGTGTCAACTTGATGTGGGAGTAATGCCCAATGTGAGTGAGTAAGTGAGTTGGGTTTAATGTCACTTGGAACAATATTTCACTTATATCACAAGGTGTCAACTTGATGTGGGAGTAATGCCCAATGTGAGTGAGTAAGCGAGTTGGGTTTAATGTCACTTGGAACAATATTTCACTTATATCACAAGGTGTCAACTTGATGTGGGAGTAATGCCCAATGTGAGTGAGTAAGCGAGTTGGGTTTAATGTCACTTGGAACAATATTTCACTTATATCACAAGGTGTTAACTTGATGTGGGAGTAATGCCCAATGTGAGTGAGTAAGTGAGTTGGGTTTAATGTCACTTGGAACAATATTTCACTTATATCACAAGGTGTCAGCTTGATGTGGGAGTAATGCCCAATGTGAGTGAGTAAGTGAGTTGGGTTTAATGTCACTTGGAACAATATTTCACTTATATCACAAGGTGTCAACTTGATGTGGGAGTAATGCCCAATGTGAGTGAGTAAGTGAGTTGGGTTTAATGTCGCATGGAACAATATTTCACTTATATCACAAGGTGTCAGCTTGATGTGGGAGTAATGCCCAATGTGAGTGAGTAAGTGAGTTGGGTTTAATGTCACTTGGAACAATATTTCACTTATATCACAATGTGTCAGCTTGATGTGGGAGTAATGCCCAATGTGAGTGAGTAAGTGAGTTGGGTTTAATGTCACTTGGAACAATATTTCACTTATATCACAAGGTGTCAGCTTGATGTGGGAGTAATGCCCAATGTGAGTGAATAAGTGAGTTTTGGGCAATATTCCAGCAATATCACGGCGGGGGACACCAGAAATGGGCTTGTACCCATATCAGGAATCAAACTCGGGTCTTCGGCGAGACCTGTATACATGGTATACAGATACCTGTATTACAATATATTGCAAAACGAGTATGTTGCCAATGCACAATGGTGACATAACACCCTGGACTAGAGAGGATGATCCGTTGGGTGTCATAGCTACTTACCTGAAGTTAGAGTTCTGTACAGCATCAGTGAAAAACGATTGTCCAAAGGCAAGAGTCTCATTGTTTGTGAGGGTGTCACATGACCCATCTTGTTGGTGAATGACTGGATTATGAGATTGGTCGTAGGACTCGCCCATGGGACTAGGTGCGGAGCTATCTTTCATGGCGTCATCGTTACTGTCGGACATAATACTCCAGATATTCCGACCCCCCTTGCCATCCCCATCACACTCATCGTAACTACTGGAACTCTTAGCACTGTTCGGTCGGGAATTGCACTTCCGTTTTGTATTCGCTGGCCCTTTCATTTCACTCATTTCCAAACTTGCATCGCCCTGTTTACAAGGCGACACATCCTCAGTTCTTGCGACAGGCACGTCTGAGCCATTTTCATCTTCACTTTTGTTAAAGTCACAGTGGTCACTTAAATTTGATTTGGTTTGGAATGTCTCGCGTTCCCCTTGAACGTCTTTGACAAAAGCCTTAGGACTGTCCACCTCTTCATCTTGACTAGATGCTTCTCCTGAATTCCCATTGGTTAACACAGGACTTTTGCATTGATTTGATTGGTCGACTTCACTTACGTTACCACAGTTACCCTCAGAACATTCAGTGTGACTTTCGGCTGAATCTGCTGCTCCAAGAATCTCCACTTCTTCCATGAAATCTGGCACTTCGGGTGTTGACGCACTTTTCTGCACATGACACACTTTGGGGATTGGACAATCAGTACTTACATTTTTCAATCTACCACTTTCTAAATCGTTTTCTTCCCCTCTTGTGACAGGTATGGTTGGGCTGGCTGGCAGTGTGTGTTCCTGAATGGTGGGAGATCTACACGTTCGTAAAGCACCCTGTTTGTCCAACGTGTCACAACACTCGCTGCGGTCGTACTCCGGCGAGGAGGGCAGTTTGCGGGTGCCACAACACGTCCTGGTTTGGTGGTACTCCACACTGTCCAGGCCCTGGTGCTTGGGCAGCTCATGGCGCTTCTGGAACTTCTCAAACTACAAACAGGTCAAGATCAGGTGAGTGAGTGAGTGAGTTGGCTTTAACGCCGCTTTTAACAGTATTCCAGTTATATCGTGGCGTGTTAGCTTAATGTGGGAGGAAAGCCCGAAGTGATGCAGGTCTCAGACGTTTACCACTTCGGTGAAACCCACGAGCACGGGTATGGTGCTGACAAACCTAGAAACATAATCGGGCGAACCGGGATTCGAACCCACAATCATAGGTTTCTGGCATGCCCAAGGGACGCAACTCTGCACAGCAAATCGCGGCGCCTTAGACGACTGGGCAACCCGTGCCCCCCAAGATCGGGTGAGAGTGTGTGAGTATGGTTTTACGCCGCTTTTAGCAATATTCCAGCAATTTCACGGCAGGGGACACAAGAAATGGGCTTCACACATTGTACCCATGTTGGGATTTGATCCCGGGTCTTCGGCGTGACGATCGAACGCTCTAACCACTAGGCTACCCGACTGCCCCAGATCGGGTGTGAGACATTGTTTGAATGTTGTTTAACGCCACACTCAGACGAAGTTAGCAATATTCCAGCTAATATGGTGGTGGTCGGTAAATAATCAAATCTGGACCAGACAATCCGGTGATTGACATCATAAGCACTGCGATATGATGACATGCATCAACCAAGTCAGCGAGTCCTGTTAGTCGCCTCTTCCATCAAGCAAGGATGGATGAATGTAACATCTACAAATAGGTCAAGGTTGGATGAGAGACAAGGATGGATGAATGTAACATGTCTACAAATAGGTCACAGTTGGATGAGAGACAAGGATGAATGAATGTAACATCTACAAATAGGTCAAGGTTGGATGAGAGACAAGGATGGATGAATGTAACATGTCTACAAATAGGTCACAGTTGGATGAGAGACAAGGATGGATGAATGTCACATCTACAAATAGGTCAAGGTTGGATGAGAGACAAGGATGGATGAATGTAACATCTACAAATAGGTCAAGGTTGGATGAGAGACAAGGATGGATGAATGTAACATATCTACAAATAGGTCAAGGTTTGATGAGAGACAAGGATGGATGAATGTAACATCTACAAATAGGTCAACGTTGGATGAGAGACAAGGATGGATGAATGTAACATCTACAAAATAGGTCAAGGTTGGATGAGAGACAAGGATGGATGAATGTAACATCTACAAATAGGTCAAGGTTGGATGAGAAACAAGGAAGAATGAATGATGACATGGACCCCGTAACTTTCAGGATTAATTATAACACTACAATGATGACATATTACAAGTTATAGCGTCAAAACCTATAAAATACTGGTCTCGTTCTCAGACAATTATAAGTAACCTTTAGGAAAGCTATGAATCAATCATAACATCATAAAACAGGAAATTTTAAAGATCTTAATCATGTGCTGTCAACCTTCAACTGAATACTGGTGTCAGATCTCTGATCGGCTGACATAAAATAAGCATTATTCTGTATCTATACTTCTGGTTTTAACTATCTGTACATTAGAGTGAGTGAGTCAGGTTTAACACCGCTTTTAGCAATATCCCAGCAATATCACGGCGAGGGACACCAGAAATGGGCTTCACACATTGTACCCATGTCAGGAATTGAACCCAGGCCCTTGGCATGATGAGTGAGTGAGTGAGTATTGTTTTACGCCGCTTTTAGCAATATTCCAGCAATATCACGGCAGGTGACACCAGAAATGGGCTTCACACATTGTACCTATGTCGGGAATTGAACCCAGGCCCTTGGCATGATGAGTGAGTGAGTGAGTATGGTTTTACGCCGCTTTTAGCAATATTCCATTAATATCACGGCGGGGGACACCAGAAATGGGCTTCACACATTATACCCATGTCGGGAATCGAACCCGGTCTTCGGCGTGACGAGCGAACGCTTTAACCACTAGGCTACCCGACCGCCCCCTTGGCATGATGAGCGAACGCTTTAACCACCAGGCTACCCCACCGCCCCCTTGGTATGACAAGCGAACGCTTTAACCACTAGGCTACCCGACCGCCCCCTTGGCATGACAAGCGAACGCTTTAACCACCAGGCTACCCCACCGCCCCCCTCTTTATATCAGGAGATAGGTCGTGGTCAACATTTCAGTTTTACAGCAAGAAGTCCACTGTTCTCATGGTTAAGTTAACCATATTTTCTTGAGTATAGTGCGCAGCCAAGAATAATGCGCATCCCCCTCTAGCGGATTCAGTAGTTTGGAGAAAAAAAATTCAAATATTATGCGCAGAAAAAATTATACTGCACCCCTTCAGCGAATTCCGGTAAACGAACGGGTGATGAGAAACTTGGTAAGTACAAATTTGAAATTAGAGATAAACAAGTATTTGTCACAGAAGTGACGAAATATCCCCGGCCTGTATATACACCATAGTTCCAAATATTAAGACAATCCTGCGATTAGTTCTTGAGATATCGCGGCAACACCGTTTTCCAACTCCAAAAGCAGATTTACCTGCTGTGACCTTGAAAATGGGCTCAAGGTCACCAAAACAGACTGGTGTCTGCGGAGTCTGTATATACACCATAGTTCCAAATATGAAAACAATCCAGTGTTTAGTTCTTGAGATATCGCGGCAACTCTGTTTTCAAACTCCAAAAGCAGATTTGCCTGCTGTGACCTTGAAAATGGGGTCAAGGTCACCAAAACAGACTGGTGTCTGCGGTGTCTGTATATACACCATAGTTCCAAACATGAAGACAATCCTGCGATTAGTTCTTGAGATATCGCGGCAACACCGTTTTCCAACTCCAAAAGCAGATTTACCTGCTGTGACCTTAAAAATGGGCTCAAGGTCACCAAAACCGACTGGTGTCTGCGGAGTCCATATATACACCCTAGTACCAAATAGGAAGACAATCCAGAGATTAGTTCTTGAGATATCGCGGCAACACCGTTTTCCAACTCCAAAAGCAGATATGCCTGCTGTGAACTTGAAAATGGGGTCAAGGTCACCAAAACCGACTGGTGTCTGCGGAGTCTGTATATACACCATAGTTCCAAATATGAAGACAATCCAGTGTTTAGTTCTTGAGATATCGCGGCAACAAACAGGTGGGACGTACGGACGGACGGACGTACGGACGGACGTACGGACGTACGGACGGTCGTGAATACTATATCCCCCGCTTCGCGCTTTCGCGCGGCAGGGGATAAAAAATCACCAGACATGTTGATTTACCGTTTAAATTGTATTTTTTGTTCTGCTAGGCATTGTTTTACGTCAAGGGATTAAGATTACCTTGTGTATTTTCTCGTAAACTAAGCCGGAAACAACAATCAGCTGTACACACGGTTTCTTGGAATCTACCGGTGATCCGGTCAAGATACACCCAATGATATAACTTTACAGGATGCAGGTTTTTTTTAAAAAAGAGTGTGCACTATACTCAAGAAAATATGGTATATGTTGCTGTTGTCCGCAAAAATAACGTGAGGCGAGGTAAGGTGAGCCGAGGTGAGCCAAGGTGAGGTGAGGTGAGCCGAAGTGAGGTAAGGTGAGGTGAGCCAAGGTGAGCCGAGGTGAGGTGGGCCAAGGTGAGCCAAGGTGAGGTGAACCAAAGTGAGGTAAAGTGAGGTGAGGTGAAAGGGGTCATGTTCAAGATAATGCACTCAGGACAGACACATTTAGTTTCATGTTTTGAACAGAGAGTGTGAGTATAGTTTTACGCCACTTTCAGCAATAATCCAGCAATATCACAGCGAGGAACACAAGAAATGGGCTTCACACATTGTACCCTTGTCAGGAACTGAACCCAGGTCTCTGGCGTGACGAGTGAACACTTTAACCACTAGGCTATCCGACTGACCTATTGACCTCCAGACAGGGCAAGCATACCCTAAACCAGGGCAATATTTTAGCATCTCCTTTTAAAATTTATAAAGTTTAATGTTTTCAGGTACCATCACCATTGCTGTAACTAAACTTTATATATGACCCGTGAAGATTCCGGGGTAGAATAGGTCTTCAGCAACCCATGCTTGCCATAAAAGGTGACTTTGCTTGTCGTAAAAGGCGGTTAACGGGATCGGGTGGTCAGGCTAGCTGACTTGGTTGATGCATGTCATCGATCCCAATGGCGGGGATCGATGCTCATGATGTCAATCACTGAATTGTCTGCTCCAGACTCGATTATATACAGACTGCCGTCATGTAGCTGGAATATTGCTGAGTGCGGCGTTAAACAACAAACCAACCAACCAACTAAACTTTATGCACCCCTCATGGTATTACTGTACGATAAACAATGACCTCAAGTTGTTTTTTTATCGTATTTAACATATTAACATTATTTACAACCTCCCTAAGGGTGTTAATAAAATGGACAGGCTTTAAAAATATTAACCCCTATTGATATAATGATGACTCCCTGAATACAATCCCAAATCAGAAAGGTTGGACAAGTCCATTTTATGAAACTGGGGGTTGTGTCATTTCCTGAATATTCTAACAAATCACACATAAATTTTTCTCCTATTACATAGAGCTGTATCTCACCCACTTGTGGATGCGATCGTTCGGCCATTGTGTTTTTCTGCATTGCACAGCCCAGCTATATCTAAGGGACCAATTACTACTCTCTAAAAAATAATGTCATCCAATTTATGACGTCCTCAAGTCGCAGGTGTGTGCTCGAATCTCCATACATGATGTAATAAAAGAACAATGTTATTATCGTGAAACACACCAAGCCTCCTTCTTCATTGTCCTTTGTGATTTATCGCGTAGCTATTTTATATCTTCTGATACACTAGAATGTTCTACTCACAATAAACTGGAACTCGGAGTGAAGCTGGCGAGAGTACTGGCCCGGCTCGATCTTGTAACCATTTGTGTGTCCGAAAGTGATCTTGTCACCCTCGGTAAGAATACTTGATCCCTTGATCTGTGAAACAGAAACATGGAAAACCAACTGTTTTACGACTGATTGAACACCATCTGTTTCAGGTCCTGCCTTTAATGGTTTGACATGCCAGACATCCTGACGCCATTGTGTGAGTGTGAGTTGGGTTTAACACCGCTTTTAACAGTATTCCAGTTACATCTCTGCGTATCAGCTTAATGTGGGAGGAAAGCCCGAAGTGATGCAGGTCTCAGACGTTTACAACTTCGGTGAAACCCACGAGCACAGGCATGGTGCTGACAAACCTAGAAACATAATCGGGGCGAACTGGGATTCGAACCAACAATCATAGGTTTCTGGCGTGCCCAAGGGACGCAACTCTGCACAGCGAATCGTGGTGCCTTAGACGACTGGGCCACCCATGCCCCCCTTGACATCATTGACGAGTGAGTACGGTTTTACGATGCCGTCACCCATATTGCTGGTAGAGAAAAGGTCATCATCAACCCTTGCTTGCCGTAAAAGGCGACTATGCTTGTCATAAGAGGCGACCAACGGGATTGGGTGGTCAGGCTCGCTGACTTGGTGGGCGCATGTCATCGTGTCCCAATTGCGTAGATCGATGCTCATGATGTCAATCACCGGATTGTCTGGTCTAGGCTTGATTATTTAGACAGCCGTCATATAGCTGGCATATTGGTGACTGCGGCGTTAAACAACTACAGAGCTCCAGATAAGCTGCGTATCTGCATAAAATACGCATCAGAAATGCAGAAATACGCAGTAAAATAAAATCCAAGCGTATCAAATAGGCAATGATCATTTCAGATATGCTACAAAAATAAAACTTGTGCGTATCATCAAAATATTGTGAAGTAACCCTGCATATTCGTTTAGCAAATCAGCAACTTATTTTGAAATTATAAACGGGCATTCCGTCAACCTTGCCAAACTCCATGATGACAGTTACACCACGATCATTTGCCATCACACTTTCTTGTGGAAGTATCATGGTATTTTTGAGTCCTATAAAGCTCTCGAACCCACACGACACCTGTTTGCAGGGACTAAATGAATAGTGTTTTTAAATATTTAACTTAAATACCCACATGTGTAAAAACTAGTGGGTAACAGAAATTTGAATACCCAGATAGAATTACTGATACCCAATGATCTTAAAATGCATGGGTAAAATACCCACAACACCAAAAGCTTATCTGGAGCTCTGCAACTAACAAGCAAGCAAACACCGACAACATATAGCAGTACCACCCAAAATGTTAGAAATTCTACCATGTCTACAAGATTATGTAGATACCTTAAACATTAGCTTAACGGGAACGGGCTAGTGCTAATTTCCGTTAGGGCTGCAACGACACAGGAAGGTCATGCTACGATACGCATCTCGATATTCTGATCACGATACGATACGTACCTCGATACGCAGTGATATAAAAACAAGACTTAAAGCATGTCAAGATTGAACCTTTCATGATTTTGGAACAGTCAGCATTATTTTATAATAACAAGACTACTGAAGATGTTAAGCTTCAAAGTGGAACTTTCTCTAACTTTCCTTCAAAACAATTCAAAGTTCAAACACCAGAAAATAATTATTGTATTTCACCAGTGATACAACTTTAAAGAATTTGTATGCAATGGTCCAAGAAATTGTAACTGAAATTATTGTTTTATCAGGAATAATATATTCCAATATCTTGTTATTTTAGTTGCAGCTTTTACAAAATATATTTAATATAATTATAACCCTAAGCTAGGCAGCTGATTGCTATTGCCAGTTATTATTTTTCACATGGAACCAGTTTGACAAGTCACCATCAAGGTTCCCGCGCACGTGATCGCGAGAACTACGTGTTGACATAGAATCGTCAAACTATAACAAATATGAATTTTAACGAGTCAAAGTATGGCATTTATGATATATGTATCCATTCTCTGTCAACTAAAGTTTGTTTCAAGGAGTCAATAGTGGTAATCCGACCATGGTTGCTGTTAATAACGGTGAGCAGTGCCATCTTCCTAATTGAAACAATATTAAAAGGTATTTTTTAATAAAATTAATGAAATAAGTTACAAACATAAGTCCAGATATACAAAGAACACTTTTTATAGCCAGACTGTGTAATTTCATGATTAATTTGCGTACTTCAGTATGGATTTGTTGACATGGTATACCCAACACAATGAGCACAACTTATTGACAGCCAAAGAAAGAAAAATAAACCATAATTACTATGCACATGTAAATGTTAATGCCCTGATATCATAGAAATAAAATACAAAATGAATTTCATGTAAATTTTTAAGTAAGGTAGATCTATGTGATTTTTCGTGGGAGGGAGACGTGGTTATGTGACATTGGCAGGCCTTTACAGCAGCAATGGAATAAAGACAAAGAACTTGGTCAATGA